GGAATGTAAATACCTCAGAATTGTTTGGTATGTGTGTAAGAGTTAAAGTTTAGGTTCTAAATATGTAAACACATAAAAGTTAAGTGGCATGTATATAAATCTTCCTTAATTTCAAGATAGTTGTAGCTAATTCAGATTCATTCGATTTAAAGATGATAAGCAGAGTTTACTGAGTATGAAATAAATAACCTGAGAATATATTGATTCTGCACTTTGCTGGAGTTTTCTGTATCGATGAAAAGCTTGAAATATCAAATTCTGCACTTAGCTTCTCACTTTCTTCTTCCAAATTTGAATTAACTTCACAATTCCAGATTTCCTTTATGTAAACTTGCTGCGGGAGCCGGGGAGCAGTTCGACGGGCAGGGAAGCACCTACGACGAAGAAGCCGCGAGGGAAAGGCATACGTTCGGCTAGCAATTCGGCCGAGAAGAGCGTGAGATGAGGAGGCTAGGGCATCGAGCGATCTCGGTGCCTCGAGGAAGACGCGAATCAGAAGGATGAGGCAGGCGGAAGTTTCGATACAGAGGAGGCGAGCGGGAGAGCAAGAGGGGAGGCGAAGCAGGCGCTTCTGCGTGAGGAAGAAGATCGTTATTCGGGAAGCTGTAGAAGCAGGCGATCGAGGAAGAAGGGGACGAATCGCCGGTCTCGGTGTAGAGGCGGGATCGATGAAGGGTTTCGGTTGGGATTTTGGTGGAGGCGATCGGGGCTGGGATCGAGATAGGGAGACGGAGCTGGGTTCGGTCACGAGTGGAAGGAGGCTACGATGCTTCTCTGTGAAGACGGATCGGGAGAAAAGGATAGCCACGAGCTTCGGTGCGGGGCTTTGATGAGCAGAAGTTTTCGGTCGATCGAAAGGAAGTTGGGTTTCGAACTGGAGGAGATGGCGTCGAGCGGGAGAGGAGCTGACGAGGAGGGGGCTGAATCTCGTCGTCCAAGGAGAAGGGCGTCCAAGAGCTCAGCGGGATCTTGTATTCGAGGAATTCAAAAATGACCGTTATCCGATAATGGGCGGGTAATTGATGAATTTCCAACGGGGGAGGAGTTTTATTTGGCTATAATAACTCCTAATTAAATTTCATTAAGGCTAACTATATGATTCATTTGAAATTTGAAATTTGAAATTTGAAAAATTTGAAATCTGAAAATCGTTTAGCCGCCTGAGTCCAGCCCGAATTGCACTTAAGCTGAGCTAGAACCTGGGTTGAGTCCGGGCCCGCATCCCGCTAAAGGAGAAAAATGCATCGATTTCCGTGCAAACTGTGCGCGCGCGTAACCCCAACAATATGGGTGTCTTTTCTAGCTAAAATCGACATTCCGGACGCATCGGCGCAGTCCGTTTCGTCATCCGGGGTCGTCCGGACGAGTTCGTCGATGGGTGAGTCGATTCAAGTCAAAGTCGTGTGTGGTGCAGGGAGTGCATGAATTGCGGCGTTCATGAGTAATCGAGTCACAAAGGGTTCACCTAAGGCTGTTGATCCTATAGGAACTCAATTTCGGGCCCTCTACATGTTGGTCCTTAGCCCTTGCAACTAAAAGTTGAGTGCTTGGAACCACTCATGCGAGTTCTTCACAAAAATGAGTCAAGAAGTGGCTTGAAGTTCTACGGGAGGTGGCTTTCATTGCTAGTCCGCTAGGATGGTTAATAAGAACTCCTAAAGCTAGATCCTAGGTTCTAAGAGTAGGAGACTAAGACCTCACCAAAAATGAGGTCAACAGTGCATAATCTGGATAAAAAGTAACGAAGAATAAATATAATTGCCAAAATGGTAGCATAAATAAGGAATTTCATATACTCAAAAGGATTACAAAGAGCAAAAACAATCCTAGAATTGAAAATTAGGAGACAAAAAATAAAATATAGGAGTCGCAATGAGAGGAGGGGGGATTTTTGAAGCAGTATCTTATGTAGTATCCAATCAGCCTTATAAAAATCTATTTGAAACCATTCAAATATGAATAGATTCATGTG